GACTAAAAGGATTCAGCAAATCACGAAAGCCCAGTGTGCGGCGCATGCTAACGACTCCCCTTGAGAGTAGTAGAGGCATATGGATAAAAGCACTTTTGACGCCATCAACATTCTGTGTTTTTCCCACAAATGGCTCCAGAGTTTTCTTGGTATCTTAATGGGTGGTCCTGCTTACTTTAGTTCTTTTCGTGCTATAAACTGAATATTTTGATTGTTGACTGGCCGGCCTCGTACTGACCCTTGCTTTAGAGGCACGACAAACAGTTTCCAGAGAAAATCTTATTTGTTTCAAATTTTAGCACAATCTTCTCGATCTGTCAATCTTTCAGCAATACGCTGAGGTGAAAAGTCAAGTCAGGTAAGTGAGTTGTCAGACCCTCATCGTCGAGTAACTCCATCAATTTATGTAGGTCGTCTACTGTGCAGATCTTCGGATCCGATTCACTTACCAAAGATCCTGTAGGCTATTTCCAAGGCACATTGTCGGTGAGCAGCGCCCTATCGCGAAAGGAGGAAATGTCCGACAGCGTGAGTCGAGTGTGTGCCCTTACACATGGCTCTTCTCATAAATGCAACTGACAGAGCTGAATGTTTCAGCCGCTGAACATCATTAATATTCGAGATGTGCCGATCCTCTCGTTAGCAATGAGAGCTGACCAAGTTGAAGGAACAGCGGAAGAATCGGAAATTCGCGACGAGCTACACCAGATGTTGCTCGTAAGTCTATAGTTGTCAAAGTGATGTCTCTATTTATGCTTGAGTTTTTAACCTTTTTGCTTCAGCTTATCGCTGCTTGTTTCCAAAAGGTTCTGTTATAACGATGATAAGGGTTTAAGTAGCCATCTTGATCACTCGGAAACACTTACTTCACAAGAAGGAGGGACTTGGACCCTGTGCCGTGTGCCGACTTAAAGGAGGAATTCACGATAAGAACGAAGGTCAAAGAAGGGAAAATTGCATAGTTGGGAGACAGGCGGACCTCCTGAGGGTGCTGACCGACGCGCAATTGGCAGCGAAAGATTTGACCTCGGCGATCTAGCATGGCTCACTCTTGGCGCGGTTGGCGGGGTACGCCCACCGACTATCTAATCACTCGCCGCAGGTCTATACGTGGCGAGTGATTAGATAGCAGAGAGAGCGTAGTGTTGAAGAGGGCACAGCGATGAGAGTCGCATCAATGCGCAAAATTTTTTCACATCTACGTCGTTCCCGTATAAAGCCCGGACTCAAGCCCCATTCCGAAAAAATGCAATTCCACTCGTTAATCAGAATGAACGGTTGGCCACATTTTGTCATCAGCACCTGCAGAACACGAGCTTCGGACAGACTGACTGATTTAATCGGAAGCTGCTTTCATATAATTGAGGAAAGCCAGGGCCTACTACTGGTAATTTTCGCTTGAAAGCAAGCCTGGCTAAGAAGTGGTCCACTGGAGCGCTCTATAAGGACAGCTGAGCAGTGGAGTGAAAGTGGAGAAGAAAGCAAGAAGAATCATCGAAAACCATGGCCTTACTTCCGGCAAGGTCGATTGTAGTGCAAGGGGAGAAAGTGCGATTGAAGGAAGGCAACCACCGGAGAGCACGCTGATCTCCACATCAATCACGGTCGATGGTTGCAATTCTATAAGGACTAACGCCCTAATTACGTATTTTGTGCAACGGAGCACGCCCCTAGTAAGTATGGACCCAACCCGTCACTCGCAACGTGTTCTTCCTAGTGAGGCTAATTTCGGGGCTTGGCTCTATGGCCTGCGCATTAACCGAAAACTCAGCTCACTTTTGTCCGCACTCTCGTAGAGGGTTGTCATCAGTCACCCCATCGTACAAAGCCTCCTTCCATGAGGAATAATATAAAGCGTTCCTGCGAAGGAGTCATAAGCTGATTTTTAATGGCTTCCACCTCCCATAATTGACCAGTCTTGAGACTCCCGTAGGCACAGAGTTCCGGTCACTCATGGGAACGACCACTGGTCGACCAATCTGTGCTCTCGAGACGACAGCGAAGTATCCATACGGATGCTCTGCCAATATCAAAGGCCTAGCCTTTTCGATGCCCTTTCCAATGTTGTAGCGATAATTCCTAGTTCATACCTGTGCGACCCAATTTTAAGCTACAGCAATTGAAGATAAGGTTTTTCCAAACAGGAGTCCAAATAAGCAGTCTCTTTTACAGTTGTGCCCTCAATTTTTGCGGCAAATCATTCCGAATGCAGTCGGGGCATTCGTTTCGGCCTGCTGATGCTCAATAATTATTAATTAATTAATAGATTTCTTTATGGCCGCAATACTATTCATGCATCGATAAATAGTGAAGAGTCACTGTTGGGGTAGAGAGCGAACTTGTTCAGAGCAGTGCTGGAGGGACCAAGCTTTTTCAGTTCGGAGTTAAATTTGAGTATTTCAAGCTGCAATATCGAAGATTAGTTAGCCTTCCGGTCATATAAGCAGCCTCTTTTACAGTCGTGCACTCAATTTTTGCAGCAAGGTCATCCGAATGCAGTCGGGGCATTCGTTTCGGCCTGCTGATGCTCAATAATTGGATTTTCTTCATGCCAATATCTATCATCGGCATCGATAAATATGTGAAGAGGTCACTGTTGGTAGAGAGCCAACTGTTCAAAGCAGTGCTGAAATAGAAGTCGGAGACTTGTCCACTTAGTTTTAGCTGAAGAACCCTTCAAGTGGAGCGTTCATATCGTTCGCCATTCAAGCCCCCACTCATGATCACTCACGATGTTTACACCATTAGAACAAGGAAGCGCCCACCCATCCAGGTCTTCTTCTTCACACCCTGAAAATGCAATGGAGAAAGGTTCTATTACTTCGACGGTGTTGATTGCAAAGGGTTCACAGATTCGAAAGAACTCGGGGAAATTACGTGAATAGCAAAGTTTCTCGTGTCAGCCGGTTTGTAACCTCATTTCTTTCTTCACAATAGCTAATTGAAGGTCTCGCGAACATGAAATAGCCATAAAGCCATTGCCATAAAACAAGAAGATGACATGGCAGTAATTAGGTCTCTAAGAAATTACACGAAACACGTTACAGCCGACAGAAGACCTCAAAAACAAGGCTAACTTAAGCGTTCGTATGAAGTGAATGCAAAAAGTCTAAAGCGTAAAGATGCAAGAAGTCTCCATTCAAGTTTTCACTATACTTCGATTTTCTCTACAGAAACGTGAACACTTTGGCAAGTTCTTCGAGGAGTTGATGTTGCTGCTTCGTGGAGCGTTGGCCCAAAGACAGATCCTGAGCAGCAGGACAAATGTCACGAATCACTAGTTCTTCACTTCGATCAGTTCTGTTTTCCCCTGAGAAGCGTGAGTGCAGTCAGCCCAGTATCTATGCTGAAATACGATAATGGTGAATGATTTAGAATCCCTTTGCGTTTGGCTTCCTCAAGAGATTTGCACAGCACTTTGGCTCAACCCTCAGGCCAACAGCTGCTGTCACGGCTTGAAGGAGATGAAACCGAATTTTGCGCCAGAACACGGTTGTCAGACATCTTCAGGATGTGGAATAAATTCGCATGAACTTTTACATATTGTACATTTCCCTAATAATTGATTCTAGATAATAAAATTTGAAATACTGTTGGTTCGTGGATGTTTTATAACTACTTCAGTGAATTCACGTGGTTCATTCGGTGGCGAGCGGGCACCATAGCCGACTGGTGCAGGTCTGTGCCGCGGTGAGCCTTGGTATTGTGTGTTTGGTAGCCACAAAAGTAAGTGATTCGTGTGTAGTATAATGGAGCACTTGCGAGCTTTTTTTCCTACATCGGGAACGTTAGTATGGTCCAGGAAGCGGGAAAATGATACAGCGACATGGTCTGGTCTGGTCTAATCTACTTTTTTTTTATTCTCTATTCTTAAATTGGCTGGGCGATGCGGTGAAGCTCCTGTCCTATAGGCGTTCGGATCTAATCTCTTTGTTTTTTTTTTTCCTTCTTTCTTTCATTGAAATCTGTTTTAGCTGCCCGTGTTGGGAATTTTGAATTTTTTTCTTCATCTCGGCGAGCCCAGGTGAATGTGTTTGTTTTCATGATCCTCTCTACTCTTGAGTTTCTCCTATAGCTTTAGAGAGAAAATTGAGTAAGTCTGAAAACTGAAATTTCTATTCCGATTTCGGCTAGTGTTTTTTTATTTTTTTTGTTCACTTTATTCTAGACTAGTTTTATAATAGAACCTGCGGCTCCAACGTTTCATTGTAGCGCGCTTGTATGTAGAGCGCATTCAATAAATAAATAAATAAATAAATAAATATATTTATTCACATAAACAGCTTCACATTCAGCAATTCATATATTCAAACAGTACTGGGGCAGACGTTTACCGAACGTCCTTCATTGGAGGCTCGCCGAAAAAGGCATCACCCTCATGCAGATATTCTTACATCCCGAGGTACATCTAGATCACAGAAAATGTCGAGGATGATTTCAAAGGCAAGCCTTTGAGATAAAACTGGTGATAAGAGTGCTTTGTAGTGATGGCTGAGCTAGACGGAATGGAAGTGGAAAGGAAAGCAAGAGAACTCATAGGAAACGCCAAAGTTAAGGTCTTAACATAGAGAACGACATTGAATGTGTTACGGACGGCGGGAACAGGACGGCTCAGAACGAAGTACAAAACACGCGAGAGAGCCACGCCTATTCGGAGACGAGTGCACTGAATGGCTCCACATCAAATCGTGTGGTGGAAGCTTCATGAGACGTCGACTTGGTTGCAGGCCCGTAAGAGGTTCGCCTAACCGCGCAATATTTGCGGAGCTGGAGTAATTTAGGTAGGTGTGGAACTTACGATTATCCTTCCTACAAGTCGGGCTATTACCTGGGTTTGCCTTTGAAGTGAACAACTGGAATCTTTCAGGAACTCAGTTAGCGGATAAAAAATGTGGAACGAGGCCTACAGCACGTTTTTTATATCTATATGAAGTTACGGAATTATCAGAGAGAATTCTTGGGAAGTAACTTGTTTCACCTGCCATAGGAATTCCGCCATGTTTGCAGAACGACAGTGTCTTTGTAACGGAACGCTTAAGCTCTTACGTCCACTTCCTTTCATTTTCACTCCTCCATCATCCAGAGAAAATGTACCCAGACTACTAATTATCATAATTCACGATGAGAAGAGTTAAGATTTAATAGGAAATTGTAGAAGCAATGTATGCAGCTCAACAGTTCATACTTATTTGTTTTGCTCAATATTTATCACCGCTGTTAGCTATCGGAGTGTTTGAAACGAATGCTGAATATGGAAAAACTGACTGTTCAAAGACTAGATGGAACCTGAACTCGCACTTGCACTTTCTAGAGGGCATGCTAGCCAGTAATGATAAGCTTGGATAAGTATTCCATCGAAGACTGAGGGAGGCTACATGTGGTTTCGGATACAAACATCACGGTAGCGGTGAGTATAAATAAAGGTTCAATTCCCGTTCAAGCCCGAACGTTGCCCATAACTCTGCGTCACCTGTTGTGATGTTTACAAAACGGTAAAAGTGGTCGATAAGGCACTCCTTCGAAATGCATCGAATAATTTGTGCCATTTTCGAGCTGAAGAAGCTGGAAGGTTAACCGAAAATCGTGAGCTAACAAGTTGCGCTACTGGTTGAAACGAAAGCCAGATTCCGTGGTCAGAAGGGCGATGTGCCGACATCCAGTATAAAAAGGAGTTATTTGAAGGCGACTGATTTGAGTATGAGCGAGTCAGTCCCGACTGCTTTTCCGTTATTTTTTAGAAGTGCAAAAACTAAGAAAACCTGGAAAAAAACTTAAAACATTAGGAAGCTTCAAAACTTTATTGCTGAGCCAAGACAAAGAAGTTTTCCGAAACAATCCCAAGAGCAGATTTATTTTGCTTGGGGCAATATTTTGATGCTTAGTATACTTCTTCTGAGCCTGAAAAATTCAATTGGACAGGTTATTAACATTTAAAAAAGACATCTAAAACACAATGCTCCGCCTCAACTAGTATTT